ATTTTGGGGCAAATTGGGAACCACGAAGGAAACGCCGGAGTGCCCCTTTAGTTCGGCAGCCTCGTTACACTATGAGCGCGGTAAACAAGGAACATCGTATATATGCATCTGCGGATGGGTCAAGTTAAGGCCGGTTCTCACATGCAGCGAAGCGCTGATGTAGCGCTCCTCACGTGCCGTCAGCTACTTATCGTCTGCCATGAGCAACAGTTTTGACGGTGCGATACGAAGCTGGTGAACGCTCCCGTCAGCACGAGCTTAGCGCGAGGTAAGCGCTATGCTTGTAGCGCTCCGCTGCATGTGTGAACAGGCCTTTACACATACAACTTGTCGACGCCCGAGGGCCGTCGACTTCACAGGGGAGCGTGTCTGTAAATAACCGTGCAAAAGATGTCCCAGGTCACCGAAAGGCTGTTTCTGGTTTGACGGCGGACCATGTTAGCTGCGACGTTTGTCGTGCTGCTTTGACGCTATCATCAGCCTTCTTCTTTCTAAGAAGCCACTTTTCCCGCCAAAGCAATTCCCGGCGTACTAACTCCACCCTGCCAAAGAAGCCGATCTTCGTTCCACAGAGATGCTTAGGAGAACGGAGCTTTCAGGCCACGTAAGAGACGTAAAACGCGTTCGTTACTTACAAAAGTACGTCGTGTCGTACCTGCAGCCTTCCGGCCTAAGTATAATGAACAGCAAATATAATAACTTATACTGTTTACCGGGTATAAAAAGAAGGCGGTTATCTTCACGAACAGACCAAGTATACGCTCCTAATAAAAGTACGCATCTATCGTAACTCTCTGCTAGCTTAAGTGGCGCACTTTCTTGGAAATCAACGCCGAGCATGCACCGAAATGAGAATTTCAACTGAACAAAAATCACAATGTTTCCCGGGAATTTATTAGATGACAGATATAAAATAAAACATATCAAAAAGGTCGCTCGGTCGTTTCAGCACACCCGAAAAATAAAAATTATTATTATTATTATTATTATTATTATTATTATTAAGAATCAGAATTTGAACTTTTGGACGAGTATAGTTTTTATTCCACGGCTGTACAATTTTTTTTTTTCTTTTTTGCATTGAATCTAATGAGCCAGGTTCACAAAATCATCAATTTCTGGTTTTCTTAACAAAAGATCGTAATGTTCCGAGGACTGTAATTGCCATGGGTATTGTAGAATGCAAATCAATTTGAATTTTGATATTTCCTCGAAACATTTTGATTCCACGGGATGTTCCGGAAAGTTGACCACGCTTGTCGATTGGGGTCGCAGCACGTTCCATTCCTCGTTGCAACGATTTAAAGCGGCTAAAATGATTCCCAGTCAGACCATGAATCGTCGTAAAGCTCTGTAACACCAAGGAAACCATATATTTAGCGACAAACACGTTCTTCCGAAGAAGCGACGAAGAACCTTTCAGTCAATGGAGGTCTCCACGAAAGAATAAAAATAACCAAATAATCGCTTCACAAAAAAAGAAAAAAAAAAAAAACGTTATGCACGGATACGCACTTTATATTTCCTAAAACGCGAAGAAAAGAAAAACCGAACCACGGAGTTGCCGGCCAATACACCAACTGTATTTCTCCAGAGAACATTATACTGAATGGTGAGATCATAGCTAAACGAATTATACGAATACTGTTACGGATGAAAAACGGCAAAACAAACCGAAAACTGAAAAATAAATGTTTCACGAGGCGAACTTGTGCTATACAAACTGAAATACTATAGACCGACACGCTGTTTACAAACAAGCCCGCGTTTGCCCAAACCAGGTGTGGGCACTGCGCTTGCGCAGAGACCGAATTCGAGTGAGCTGAAGCTTCTGCGCAGTGCCGTCGACAGCGCCACCGCAGCTGCGTGCGCGTGTTGGTCTATCAGGTTAAGCGCTTCATGCATCGGTGACGGAGCGGCAACTGTCCCGAAGCAGCGCGTTACCGTTATACTCCACGCGTTGTGAACTTTGATCGTTCTAAGAACTTTGATCGCTCAAAGAAACGCACGCGAAAGCCACGTGCGTTGCCAATTCCGCCACGCACGCGGAAATATGGCTATAGTATAACGTATACGAGAAATGATCTCCCGTCCTATCAAGGTCCAATCAATAACCAATCTTGAAAAGAAAACAAAGAAAAAGAAGAATAAGAAGAAAGGTAGTCACTTTCGGTCTACCGCAGACAACTGGCGGCTTCCTCGAATTGCGGAAAGAATCTTGCTTTGGTTAAATGAAGCGCCTAATCTGTATCTATCTTCGCCTCGTTATTGAACTCCTCGCCCTTCAATTAACGCTCCAGATAAGAGAGAGCAAAAAATAAATTAAAAAACCGACAAAAATAGAGAGAGAGAAAAAAAAAAGCAGGAAGGGTGCGATTTAAAGCGCGCCGCTGCTGAGAGAGGGAAGTTAATTGTCTCGTTTGTTGCGTTCGATGAATTTTTTTTCAAGTGGCTCAAAGAGAAAGCTATATCGAAAAAGAAAAAAAGAACGCAATGAAGGCCAAATTGCTTATTACGATGTTTTGCACGCAATCTCTAATTGTGTAAGTTATATCTCATCGCGTTTGAACGAATTCTCGCCCCTGCATGCATCGAGCGAACTTACATGGGTTCTTTGGGGGGGTTCTGGAAAGGGCAGATTTAAAGGGGCGATGCAACAATATTTGTACTTTCAGTAAATACCGCTACAGAATTATTCCTCGATACTATAAAACAGGCATTTTTTTGTAGTTTTTTTGTTTGTGTAATTGGCAGCCGCAGAAGAAAAAAATAATAAAAAAAACGGTCAGCGTTCACCCCCTGAACTGTCCGGCTGTGTTCCATGATTGTTACCCAAATGACTCCGAGTGACTCCGGCGGGTCGTGTCACGTGACAACACAAACCGAAAAACGGACGCGGTGGTATACGATTTTGTAACGCCAAAAAGTACAAAACCCTAAAGCGCCGTTCACACTCTTGCGACCGAGCAAGACCGAGAGAGACCAGACAGGTCTTTAATCCTTTTGTGACGCCTTAGAACCGGATGTGCTGCAGCGGAGCTGGTCTATAAGAGATCGCAAGAGATCGCAAAACCGGTCTGGTCTCTCTCGGTCTTACTCGCTCGCAAGAGTGTGAACGGGCCTTTACTCTGCAGAGTAAGATCGAGTAAATTTTTGGGAACACGGCCTCAGTCAGATTGAACCTCCACGTGATCTGGAACCGCCACCAATGTTTATCTGCAGATTTGCCAAGCACATGCATGGGCACGCGCCGAGTTCCACACCATAAAGGTTCGCGACTATTCCCTCGCCATCGCAGCGTTCTATAGCACGAGCCCCGAAGATATATATGTCAAGGTATCGATTGACACGAGTCCAAATGGTATGCTCACGCAGTGAGCGCGTGTTCACTGCATAAGCCGCATTGAAATATATTACTTGGTTTCAGCTCAAGACCAGACGCAGCCGATGCTGTATACATACAAGCGCGAGCTTCGAGCTTTCCGCGTCCCCGCGAGTCGTGCACGCGCGATCGTGCCTTGCAGCAGGCACTGTTCGGGGCCACATGCTTGCGCTTGTATACATCAATGGCCGAGTTATAGATCGACTGAAGCTCAGACGAAATGTATAGTAACCCCAGGGATCGCGAACCTCGATGGTCAGATTCTGGGGATCTCATTGTCGAAAGCTCCAACGATGAAAGTCCCTCCAACTTCGTCATCAAGTTTCGCGAAAGAGAGACTGAATGAAAACGTTCGCTTTTATCCTCAAAAACTAGAGGCGGCGACAAAGATGCTTCTTGGACAGTGGCGTTGCGTGCTGCGAGGATTATTGTGACCCAACAATGTGCCACAGCAAGCTCGTGTAAAGTGAGAAACACTCCTACCCGCGATCGTTGCACGGATCCTTGAATATAAAGAGTTTTGGTGGACCGTTTCGGACGACTTCAGGCGATAATGACACCCGATCAAATTCGCCGCCGCCTTTGCGCATGCATCGTTTCATTATCGGCACCATCAGAGCGATCTTCTAAAACTTTCTAATGTCACGGACGAAGATACTTGCTATATGCACATCCATTGTAACGCGTCGATTCTCTTACACGGCGACAAAACGCGGCCGGAGTTCCCGAACGCGAATACGGCAGACGATGTTACAACACCTCTTTCCTCCTAATGTTCATCCTAATGTTCGGAGAAATGACTCGGCAGTTCGCAACAATCCATCGGGTTTTCCAGGAAATAGGCGCGTTTCGTTTTGAGGCCGCAATATATGGCCCATGGTTCGAATCCCCATGCGCGCGTTCCATATATATCTCCCCCCACGCGGAGGAGGTTCGCTAAACGCTACGGAGTGGATGTTGGCAAACAATCCATCCCGATTTCCTTCTCTCCACGTCCAACACTGCAGGTGCTTGCAAGGGGCACAGGTATTCCGGATCTCCGCATACAAATTGCTTGGCAAAGACAAGAGTGATCAAAGCAGAATGGATCGCGTGGCTCGTATCTCTTTTTCTCAGACACGCTGTGGCAGTGACCGAAAGGCAGCGGCAATAGGTGTGGCTGGATGTCTCCCGCTAGCCGGGCATGATGGCCTACGTACACCTCTACACCGGACAAGTGAAATCATCGGCATAGTCAAAGCGTGACGCTGGCCGTTCGGGACACACCGCTGCGAGACTTTTGCAATCGGTCGCCGAACACGGCACAAAAGAGCAGACGAAGCAAACATCTACTAATCGAGGCCGAAAGAAGAACAAGGGAGAGCCGCCGCCTGCCGGGCGCGTCGAAAGAAGCACCACGTGACCGCACGTGTAAGTCGGTCCACCGATGATCGGTATATACGAAAGCGGCGTGGTAGTTTCTCGCCGAGGGTGCGACACGGGCCGGAGGTTTTGGGAGCCTTGAAAAAGCGGGCTCGCGGAGCCGACCGGTGCACGTGCACGGTGGGCGACGCGGTCGGCGCGTTCGAGGCGTCCGTGTCGGTGCCCCGGGCGCGGCACCCGACCCCGGTGCACTCACCGTCACTGTGGCAGTCCCAGTGTCGCATGGCAGCCCCGGGTCCGCGAACCGAGCCTTGTTTCCGGTGGCCCAGTTCAGCGTCGGCGCCTGGCTGCCATCTTGAGTCGCGACATTGCCTCGCGCGCGGGTGCACACTCCGCCGCGCGGACGAAGCCGCCGGAAGCCCCGCCCACCCGCGCCGCAGCGGGAGCCCCGCCCCACCGCCGCGGAGGCTCCGCCCTTTCCAGCGTGGGGATCCGCCCCCTAACTTACCTGGGCTCCGCCCACTCCTGGAAAGGGGCGGGACTCGACGTGGCGAGCGCCAGCTGGCGACCGCGTGGTGCGTCGCCGCCGCTCGCGCGCGCGCGCGTTGAGTCGTGTAAACAATGGCGGAGAGGGACCCCTCTCTTTTTTTTTAGGAGCCGAGGTTGTTGGACGTCCTCGGTTACGGATAGATACGTCTGCTGTGACGCGTGTGCACACGCGTGTGCGTGTCGGGGGAGGAGGAGGGATCTCATAAGCGGGGGTGACAACACGGTTTCCACCGGAGCCGGCTCTGCTGTTTATCGAATTTGTTCGAGAAGAACGGGGGCAGCGACGGGGCGGCCCGTGCGAGTGCACTCGATCGTGTATGCTTCGAAAGTTTCGAAGCGATCAGCGTTCAAGCTGTCGCCCAGTCACGACATCGCCGAGTGGAAGGCTTTCGCGGAATTAACGATACGGCGCCTCGACTATTGTGTTGCAATGGGTCGACCTTGTCTCCTGGCAATGAATGTAATTGGCCAGAGGGATTTGTCAGTCATTGCTCGTCTCTCGTTAGCGCTAGCTTTGTTTGTACGAAAACTGTTCCGTTTTGAAGGCACCAATTCTAAAGCCCGTGTTTCCCAGGTGTGTGAACAGCGCATGCCCCAAATTCGCGATATATGAATCGCCTGCTCATGCAGACGCTTCATCGGAGTTGAGTTGGTGTATTTCCTGTAGTACCTTTCGCATTATTCTTTTAGATCGTACATTTGGCGCGTTGAAAATAAATTCTGGTTTATCTTCTATTTATTTCGTAAACTTTTCGTAGACTACCGCATCTCATAGATGACCGCTACGCTGCTTTTGGTGGTGGTCCGGTAACCCACTGAGTTGAACTGCTGGCAGTTTCGGGGCATCGTAAAGTTTGCAAATAAAAAAGCAATGCCTTCGTTAGACACAATGCACCCGAGTATTACGTTCAGAAAGAAAAAAGAGACTGACGAGATAGTTATTACTTAGTGTATAATATAATTTTATTTCACGCATACATGGGTCTGGGAGGCTGCGGAAAAAGAAGACACAAAATATTCTGATATATTCATCAACCTAACAGTCACGATATAAAAAAAAAGAAGAAAAAACACGTTAGCATAGGCGGAACATATAGGAATGAACTGCGACAAAAATGTCGTCCGACGTGGTACAGAAAATACAAAACATCAGCAAAACACACACACAAACAATCCTTAATGATCCTTGCGCTTAACAAATCAGTACTTTAAGAAAGCATTTTTTAATAGATTTTTTTTAACCTGGCAATTGTAGTTAGATTGATTTTTAGCCTTTTTTGAGTTATACTTTTCTATATAATTTTGTCAATTAGTTATATATATACGTATGTCATCTCTCAATTAACGGTTACACAATTCTGTATAGAACAATACTCTGAACGTTCTTTGAATGCGCAGATATATTTTATAAACGTTTTAAGTAGCAATGCTAAAGGCTCTTTCACAATATGTAATAAATGAACACTGTAATTTCTGATTATTTGCCTATTTGTCTCCGTAGGTGCCCTGCTGCTGTTTGTAAGGGCGGAGGAAAAAAAAAGGGGGGGGGGGGGTGTTCGCTAAGTTGCGTTTGTGCAGCGTTCCTTTATGTCCCTCCGTCGTACAATTGACTTTAAATAAAAATTATATTGTTATTATTATTGTTATAATTATTATTATTATAGGCAAACTTTTTTTTTCAGACATCGCACAAAGTGATTAGTCACAGCAGAAAATAAGTTTTTTTTTTTCTTTATTTAAAAATGTGGAGAATATTCTGCTGAGCTATTCCGACTATATGTATATACGTTTGAGCGTTTATTTAGTAAATCAGCAATTTGGTAACTCGGTGTCCGAGTTCCATCGTTCGTTCTAACATTCGGTGTAACATAAAGACCTGTCAGAGGGTGTGTAGGCTTGCCTGTAAGTGTTAAGGAAACGAATATGTAAGGTTATTGTGCGGGTCTGACCTCGGCTGTCAAACAAAAAAGATATTAAAAAAAAAAACAGAAAAAAAAGAAGATCGGTGAATAGGTTACGACGATTATCTCAGCCGCGCGATTAATACCTTAGTTAGGCTTAACTGCGGTTAAGGGTTCCCGATGGGTATCCTAGCTAAACCGCGGTTATACGCTTAAGCGTAGTTAACAGGTGCTGCCGACTATACCCTATTGTTACCCGCGGGCGCCCTTAACCGCAGTTAAGGGCGCCCGGGTCATAAGACAAATTCTTGTTCATGTCCTCTCGCGTAACGCTGGTTCGGTATAGAAGAACCGCTCGGCTGATTTTTGGGGTTTTTGTATCTAAATATCAATCATCGCTTACCTGTGCTCTCGCAGCCGGCAGCGCTTGGTGTTCGTTTCAGCTTAGCTCACCCCGACGCCCGTCACAGTCTCCTCTTTGCCCTCCTTTCTGCAGTAATTTCATTCTCTTGGCTGTTGTTCCTTCCTGTCTCGTTCACTGCACATTTCTAACACCACACTCGTCGCAATATTTCATCCCCACTTTATTTCATCAAAAATATTATTCAGCATAGTGCCCTGCATATATATATATATTTTTTAAAACGAGGGTGATGTACGTTGAAACTTATACCATATAAGTTGTCGATGAACCTAACGGCATTCTTTTGTAAAATTAATTGTTTTCCAATATTTGTTGTTCCCGTCGTTGTTCCCCAAACTATAGGAGACACTCTTGTCTATAGTTTGAACTTTGCCCCTCTATTCCGCCTGAGGGCCGGTATTTGTTCCCGTTTGCGCAAACACGAAAAACGAGGTTTTCCCGAAAGCGTTACCACGTTTCCACTCAGGGAGTCATCCTGCGGGGATACGCACTTCTTCACTGTCTCAGCAGCAGCAACGGCCGCACACCGAATGACCCCTCTTCCGAGAACTCGGAGGCTGGCGACTCGAACCCAAGCCCTTGCTGCCATGGCCGGACCTGTACACGTTACTGTAACGTTACGTTACAGTAACGCGTTACGTTAAACGCTACTGCAATTCAAAAGGAAGGCGCTACCTCGGCTTCAAAGATGGCGCATTATTTGTGTCGTTCCTCCGAAGCCGCCACTTCCAATATTTGTCGCAGTTAATTGATCCCCGCTTTTTTTTAACCCGTTCGTTCGTGGACAACTGTGGCTAGACCTTGTGTACACTTTTACGACCCATCAGTTCTTTTCTAGTCGTGCAAATAGAGGAGCGGGCTTCGAGGAGAACGATATGTTAAGTATACTTGTACATCTTTCCCTCCACAAGTGACTAAGCACTGCTACTCGTCACTTCATCAAAATAAATAATTCTCTTTAAAATAACTTAATCGTTTCTTCACTACAAAAAAAAAAAAGAAATAGGTACAAGTAAGGCGTTGCGTGCAAGTGTGGTTTACCGGCCCATCACTGTTGGTCCGGGAAGGCACTTGGTGATCTCGACAAACACCGCAAATGGCCCCGTCAAATTAGCGGTGCCGATATAGAGCACGCACGGTGTGGCGGGCCCATTCGAGTCGTTCGAGCAGCTTCTTAGACGCGGCAGCAGCTGATGGCTCCGACAGATTTCCGTTGAGTGATTCAGGCATGCGATCCGCTTTTGTGCCGTCAAGTGCGGCGAGACCGGGGAGCATTGGACCGAGTGACACTTAACTTCGTTTACGAGGACCGCGACGCGTCACAAATTCTGTCTCGGTTGACGTCGCGCTTTCCCCTTCTTTTTATTTTGTTTGCACGCAAACACGCAGTCATACTTTTTTTTTTTTTTCAGACAATAATGGGGGCCGGGCACAATCGCGCAAACACGTGACCGCTCTTCGCCTCTCCTCCAAAAACTCCGCGTCACGACTCCGTCGACAAATTCAACAACGCGCCCTCAAAAAGGAAGAACTGGCGCTCGAAGAAATGAAGACGGCTCCGAACGTTTCCTCCCGTATTTTTGTTTTCCCCCTCGCACTCGACTTGTCTGCCAAAGCCTCGCGCACATTGTGTGCGCGCACGACGCTCGGAATCTCCGAGGCCAGGACCACAATGGCCGCCCCGCTGTCCGTCAGCGAGAAATCCGTGAACGGCGACAGGGGGGGCACCCAGGGAGTCCCTCTTTAGCGCGCCTGCCAAATTGGCGTCTCGTTAACGTCGTCCCCCCCCGCAAGGGGGGCGCTGCGAGCGCTCGTTGAAGGCGCCCCCCCGCGGCGGCTGCTTGACGCCTCAATGGCGTCCCGCTGCCCTGGCTTCCGGCCGCCATTGAAGGCGGTTTCCGCGGGGGGTCGTCTTTCATCGCCTCGGTTTCGGAGGGGCCGACCCGCGGTGCTTTTGCGAGCCGCTACGGGGTCCCATTAATTCGAGCACGGACCAGTGGCTCGGTCTGTGGGATTCGGTCGCGAACGCTCGCGTCGCCATCGCCGCCGCCGCCGGTGTGCGGCGGCCACGAAGTTGGTGCGTCTACTGCGAGTCTCTACGGCGGGGCAAATGTGCGTGCGCGTGCACGTGCGTGAGAACATGCGTCAAACTGCTGCACCCGTCGGTGTGGGCCTCCTTGACTGGAGCGCGATAACGGTTGCGCGGCTGGTTGCGGAGCTGTTGGGAGGCGCGCCTCGAGTAATGAGTCCGGGTCGCTTTACGCCGCCGCCCCGTGGGTCGGACGATCGTTTTTGGAGGGTGGTGGTCGGACCGACCGGGCATCAATCTGTTTTCGTAGGAATCGTTATTTCCTCGGGCATCGACGAAGACCTTTTCATCCGATGCAAGATGTGCGATTTGTTTTCGTAGGAATCGTTATTTCCTCGGGCATCGACGAAAATCTCTTTATCCGATGCAAGATGTGTCGCGTACCCAAATTATGCGTTTTAGACAGTAGGCCGGTCGGCCGAAAC